TAATTATAAAAAAAAAAAAAAAAAAAAAATAATAATAATAATATAATAAATAAATAAATAAATATATATATATATAGACTTTAAGTTAATTAATGTATTCCATACCAAATTGAACTTTAACTTTTATGAATTTAATGAAACCTATAGTTAAAATAGTGAAAAAGGAAATAGAAATCCCGACATAATTAAATTTATCGAGAGATTTTAGATATACAAACAAAGCTAGTTGCGTTCGGAGACATATTCATGTTATGAACAAGTCGTGTATAAAATTGACGTTTTTGCACGACATGTATGTTTCGGCAGTTGATCCTAGATATGACGACGGATTTGGTTAAGCTGGGAAAAAGGTGGAATACACGTTCCATAATATTGTGAAACGTAACCTTCTTCCCTTTTCCATGTTCTTTTCTTCCTTCTTCCTCTATTTGTTATGCACTTTTCTCGCTCACACGATGCAACATTAGCTCGATTTTTTGTCGAATCTCCAAACGTCATCTTCTCCCTTTCTATAACAGTTCAAACCCACCATTAACAAATATTGTTCGTTTTGGCCCGTTACGTATCACCATCAGTCTCACGATTTTAAAACATCTTATAAAGAACGTTTCGTTCTTTTTTCCAACCGATGTGGGATCTCACACTCAACTCCCCTTCGGGTTCTAGCATCCTCGCTAGCACTCGTTACTCTCTCCAACCGATGTGGGATCTCACAATCTATCCCTCTGATACCTTTTGTAACAGTCCAAGCCTACCGTTAGCATATATTGTCCGTTTTGCCCTGTTACATATCGTCGTCAGTCGCACAGTTTTAAAATGCGTCTGTTAGAAATAGGTCTCCACACCCTTGTAAAGAACGTTTCGTTCTCCTCTCCAACCAATGTGGAATCTCACACTTTCATTCACTTGTTTGTTCGATTTCAATTAGGGCTAGGTCACGAGTCCATCAACGCTTGCACGTACGACCGTATAGATTATTTTGAAAAGAACTTAGCTTATCGTCAAAGTTGTCCTATGTTTGCTTCGGACCCAAGGGATCTTTGGTTACTTACCTTAGCTTTGATAGAGCATGTGGCTCGTGGTGCTTGTTCCGTACAATTTGCCACCTTGGAAATACATGAAAAATATTTTTTTAAAAAATAAAAAATTAATTTTCTATAAAAGAATTGAACTCTAAATTTAGGGGAGTTTTGATTACAATTAAAGCCTTCAATTTTCAATGCTATTTCCACAAGTAAAGGCATCAAATTCACTTAATTCTTTTATATCCACTTCAATAACATTACATATATTTCATATAAAATTATTGTATAAAAAAGACGCCACGTCTAGAGATGAGACAAGTCAGCTACAGTTGCACACAATTGAACATGCACGCTCGACGACGTATGTAGCCGAACAACCTTAAATTGTGTATGAGTTATGTTTGATGGGCGAAGGAGAACCTGGCCAAAGATCCCACAAAGCTACAAAATTGGACAAAAATAGAAATGAGGCTTGAGTTCCCCTTACGTTCTGTTATGAGCGTGTCCAAATCACGACACCTCACGGTTAAGGACATGTTTGGAATGACATAAAAAGTCAACCCAAGTAGACTCTAAGCTGTTTGAATCAACAGAGATCTAATAAAAGGTAGAAATTGCAACGATTGTCTAAGTTTAGGCTCAAATTTTGTAAAATTAGAAGTTTATGGTAAAAACTGATACAGCCCGACAAATTTATAGGTATAATGGTAAAAACTGATACAACCCGACAAATTTATAGGTATAAACTCCTTATTTAGGGCATGTTCGAGAGTGGTTTTATTAAATTAAAACTCGGATTTGGGATTGTCTAACTTAGAAAAGTGCTTTGAAAGCACAAAAAGGACACAATTCATTCCCCTTAGTATCCAACCCTACCTTCAAGAAAGGCCTCTCTCCTTTAAAGTTAAGGGATTGTTGTTATAAGCATTATAAAAGCTTTGGCAAAGGATAAGAATTTTGGTATATTGAGAAGAAAAAGAGCTAAAAAATGGGGTTTTTTATGAAGCTTTTTGGAGTGTTTCTTATAATGGTTAAAGCTATGGCTTCCCATAACTATGGAGATGCCTTAACCAAAAGCCTATTGTTCTTTGAAGGTCAGAGGTCTGGGAAATTGCCCCCTAATCAAAGGGTCACTTGGAGGAAGGATTCAGCTCTTCATGATGGCCTTGAATTTGGGGTAAGATCACTCTTTTGCTTCTCTTTTATTCACTTTTTAGGGTATTTAGGGTAATCGTGTAACGGCTCAAGTCCACCGCTACCAGATATTGTCTTTTTTGGGCTTTCTCTTTCGGGTTTAGGGTTTAAAACGCGTTTACTAGGGAGCGGTTTCCACACCTTATAAAGGGTGTTTTGTTCTCCTCCCCAACCGATATGCGATTAATCCACTCTATTAGGGACCAACGTCCTCACTGGCATATCGCCTCATGTCTATCCTCTTTGGGGCTTAGCCTACTTGCTGGCATATCGTCTAGTATCCGGCTTTGATACCATTTGTAATGCTCAAGCCCATCACTAGTAGATATTGTCCTCTTTGAGCTTTCCCTTTCGGGCTTCCCCTCAAGGTTTTTAAAATGTGTTTGCTAGGGAGAGGTTTCCACACCTTATAAAGGGTGTTTTGTTCTCCTCCCAACCGATGTGGAATCTTACAATCCATCCCTCTTTGGGGCCCAGCGTCCTCGTTAGCACATCGCCTCGTGTCCATTCCCTTCAGGACTTAGCCTACCCGCTGGTACATCTCCCGATGTCTGGCTCTGATACCATTTGTAATGGCTCAAGCTCACCACTAGAAGATATTGTTCTCTTTGAGCTTTTCCTTTCCACACCTTTATAAAGGGTGTTTTATTGTCCTTCTCAATCGATTTAGGATCTTACAAATTGAACCTTTGAGATTGGTTAATGATTTTAGGTTGACTTGGTCGGTGGCTACTACGACGCGGGCGACAACGTGAAGTTCAACTTTCCGATGGCGTTCACCACCACCATGCTATCATGGAGCGTTTTGGAGTTCGGAAAAGACATGGGTCCCGACCTTCCCTACGCCATCGACTCGATCCGATGGGCCACTGACTACTTACTCAAGGCCACAAGCGTGCCAGGCTTTGTCTTCGCTCAAGTTGGCGACCCTTACGCCGATCATGTCTGCTGGGAACGTCCCGAAGATATGGATACACCAAGAACCCCTTACGCCGTTAGCAAGAAGTTCCCCGGCTCCGAGGTCTCCGCCGAGATTGCCGCTGCTCTCGCTGCCTCCTCCATCATATTCAAGGCTCTCGATAGAGGGTATTCTGCTCGGCTTCTTAAAAGAGCTCGAATGGTAAGAATTTACTCAAAACCAAATAGTTATCAAACGAGACGGGGTGTATTTATTTTTGTTTAGGTTTTCGAGTTTGCAGATACTTATCGAGGGTCTTACAACGAGAGTGTCGGGGCATGGGTTTGCCCATTCTATTGCAGCTATAGTGGCTATGAGGTAAGGAAAAGGAGGTTTTTTTCTTAGATTTGATATCATTTAGAACCAAAAATGATGAACCGATGGGCGTAGGATGAACTCATATGGGGAGCTGCATGGTTGTTCAAGGCAACAAAGGCTGCAAATTACTGGAATTATATCACCAAAAATGGTATTCAATCTTATTCTGATGGTAGCTTTGCTGAGTTTGGATGGGACACCAAACATGCAGGGATTAATGTCCTTATTTCCAAGGTGGGTATTTTCCTTTCTTTATTATATTCCGTTCACGTTCGTATTTTCGAGTCGATCTTCGTCTCTAGTAATACAAAGAACCGTTAATTCATAAGGTTTTTGGACGATCAGGGAGGACGAGATGTAGCTATCAAGAAGCTTGTGGAATCCTCGTATAGTATAGAAAGAGACCAAAACGAGAAAGAATTTTTTTTAATGTTCCAATGGGTACCCCGGTTGAAAATTGCCCGAAAATAGCTTGAGAGTGAAACCACTTTGGAGTGTTTTTCAACTGAGAATGCAGGTCAATTTCATCGGCGGGTTTGGGACGTAAGGTGTCATGAACATGACTATAGGTTTATTTTTAGTGAGGAAAACTACTTTGAGGTGTTTCGGGCACCCTAGGTAAAAAAATATTAGTTACGGCTAATCTTTTTTTTACCGGAGAAATGCTCGTATTTTTTCAAAATTGACCTGACATACAAAAGTGTTTTTTTTTCTTTCTGTAATTTAAGGACCAAATAGAAATTAACGAACCGGGACTAAAAATATATTTTTTTCGATAAAATGTTCGATATATATATATATATATATTTTGCTAATATAATTCATAAATAAAACTTTAATCTCAATTAAACCAAATTTTTATTATTGCAGTTTATGATGAGCGGAAATAATTATTCCAACTTTATTAATTATGCTGATAAGTTGGTATGCTCAGTTCTGCCTGAATCCCCCTCTGTATCAGTCTCTTACTCACCAGGTAATTAGTTGTTTTTTTTTTTTTTTTTATAATTATTATATTTTATTATTTTAATTTTAATTAATATTTTTTCATCTAATTTAGAAAATGATATAAACATTTTAGTCCCTATACTTTAGCTGAAATGACGATTTAGTCCTTAAACGTAAATTTATAACGATTCAATCCCTAATCGTAATATGGTATGAATTAGGTGGGCTTCTATTCAAACCGGGAGGAAGTAATATGCAACATTCAACAGCCTTATCTTTTCTTCTTCTTCTTTATTCTCGTTACTTGAATCAATCCAAACGCCTCCTTCACTGTGGAAACGTTGTTGCATCTTCGTCTCGCCTCGTTCAAGTTGCCAAGGGTCAGGTACGACAAGCTTAGCAGCTCGGTTTATTATTAGGTTAAATTACAAGTTTAGTTCTCGAACTTCCGAACATAGGGTATACATATCATCAAATCATTGTCTATTTGGTCATGAACTTACTTTCTTTTTGTGTCGTCTAATAAGTTCCTAAACTTCAAAAACTGTCTAATAATTATTCAATTTCGTGTCTTATAGGTCTTTGATCTGTTTATAAACTTGAAAGTTTAGGGTCCTATAAAACATAAATTTTAATTTTATATCTAAAATCGTAGATGATTTTGTAAAATTTTCAAATATATTGTAAACAAAGTTGACATAAATTTTAAAGTTTAGAGATCTATTAGACATTTTCTAAAAAAACAGACAAAGGAAAATTCAAAGTTCGTGGATCTATTAAACACTTTTGAACTTCCGAGTGTCCTATTAAACATAAAACTGAAGGTTTAGAGATTTGTTCAGATATTTTTAAAGTTTAGGGTTCTGTTATTGTGAGATCCCACGTCGGTTGGAGAGGTGAATGAAGCATTCCTTACAAGGGTGTGGAAACCTCTCCAAAAACTATGAGGCTAACGACGATATGTAACGGACCAAAACGAACAATATCTGCTAGCAATGAGTTTGTGATGTTACGAATGGTATCAGAGTCAGTCACCGAACAGTGTGAGGCACTAGTCGGAGTAAGACTAAACCCTTTCCATAATAGACGTGTTTTAAAAACTGTGAGACTGATAACGATGTGTAACAGACCAAAGCGGACAATATTTGCTAGCGAAAAACATTAGACATTTCATCTTCTGAAACCAACACTTTTGATGTTATTTGACGTACAACAATTTTGATATGTCTATTATGTATCTCCACCACCAGGATCGATAAACCCTTTGGATCATATTAACCAAAGAGATACGACTTTGCACTATAGTTAGTTCAGCACCAATCGAAAATCCCTAAGGAATTCCACGTTCCAACTCTCGATTCACTTGAACTGTTACAAATGGCATCAGAGTCGGACATCGAGCAGTGTGCATCCTAAAGAGACGTAAATTTAAAATTTCAAAGACTAAACTAACGGAACGTATGAATGCAGGTGGATTATATACTAGGAAGCAACCCATTGGGCATGTCATATATGGTGGGATATGGCAGCAAGTTCCCACAACGGATCCACCACCGTGCCTCGTCGCTGCCATCCATGGCGGACCATCCACAGCGCATTGCATGCTCAAACGGGCATCCATATTTTGAGAGCAACAATCCAAACCCTAATTTGCTGATCGGAGCTGTCGTCGGAGGGCCTGATAACAAAGATTCTTATGAAGATTCTCGAGTTGATTTTGTGCATTCAGAGCCAACTACTTATATTAATGCTCCTCTTGTTGGCCTCTTGGCTTACTTCAAATCTCATCCTTCATAGAACTTGGCCTCTCCCCTTTTGTTAGGCTTCAAACAATTGCTCCAAATCATTGTAAATTTGATGTTTTAGTACTTTATATCTCTTTGTTCTATTCTTATAACATTGGAAATTGTTCGTATGCAACCCGACCCAGATGAAAAACTAGCCATATGCATATAATGAAGAATCATAAGACTGAATACTCGGGATGTCTGTCCCGTAAGAAACCGTCAAGCCTCCCATTAATAGCAATGAAACTCTGTGCTAAGTTTCGTCTCGTAATATGAGTTACTACCCCCTCGATCACTTACACTATCTCGAAAGAATTTTACCATCGATATTGAATTGCACATCCAAAATAGCTCTAAGATGACATGATCCCGTGTTGGTAGTTGACATGTATCCTCTCTTCTCGGTCCATCACAAAGGAAACTAAAATCAGGGTTTGGTTTATCGAGTATTAAATGCGAGCTATCAAAAAAATAGAACACCTGGAATATGGGTTTAACGTCTTTGGGCTTGATACGTTATTTCCACTCACAATAATTTTTATAGACCGAGCCAAACAGGGAGTCTACTGGATGGGATTCAACCAACGGAGACTCTTGGAACAGCGGGAGTAATCAATCCCTAAAAATTGTTAATAATTAACAAGTATAACGATTCCAAATCAAAATTCAAGTCAAATATGAAGAGATGCCTTAAGAACTATTGATGTTGCCATAGTTTATCAAGATTGTTCTTATTCGAATATGGTCTCGGTTCATTTATGTACTTTTTCGTTACTCGAGTGTCACATTTGTGAACCATACATATATACCATCGAAATCCGTCAAGTTGACTTAAGTCTACCTACAAAATTAGTCAAGTCGTCACAAGACGTTTTTATTTAATCTCCATCATTTTCAAACATTATCCTAAAACGTGGGACATCCATTTAATGTTTGATATTAATGTAACAACTACTATGTATATGGAGGGTCACCGAGTTCATTTTTTTATTATTTAAAAAAATCATACTAATCCGCAATACACGTTACATTCACAAGTCACAGTCACATCACTAACATCTGTTACAAACACTAGACATTATTGGTCGTAACCATCTCTAAAGTAGGGTAGAGCTGAGTTGGGTTGTGAACGCTATTTTGAAGTTGATCGAGTCAATTCCAACTCGCAAACTCAATCAAATTTTTTATTTTAAAAAATTCGACATTTACAAAATTATTATAATTAGTTATTTAATATAATAAATCAATTTTGACAAAAAAAAAAAATATTAAATAAATGAACTATTTATTTTGACAACGTTTAATTATTTAAAATTAAATAATATAATAAAATTGTTGAAAATTAATATTTGTTATAGTAATTATTTAATTTCTAAACATTTTTTTCGTCATAATAAATAAAATCTTGAAGTAAATAACCATTTTAAGAGGAATAAATACAATATTTCAAAATTGGCGGTGGATGGATAAGGAATTGTACCAAGCGCGTTACCCTATTTTATTTAACGTTGAAATTTCTTATTATTGATTTAAATAAAATATGAAAAATCTCGTCTAGAAGAAACAAGACGTGAACCATTATTATATTGAATTACAAAATATTAAAATATATTTAGTAATTAAAAATTATTTTGTTTTTTTTTTCCAATATAAATATTAAAAATATAATTAAGATATTACTTAGACCCTATTGGTCAAGGATCTTATATTTTTATTTTTATTTTTGTTTTTGTTAAAATATACTATTTTTAATTTATTTATTTTCGAATTTGTTCTAATTTTAATCTATATATTTTCAAATATTTAAATTTATTGAAAATATATTTATTTTTTTCTTCCAGAGAACTATTATTGTTATTTTACATTAATTAATTAATTAAATTGACATTTATTTTCTTTATTTAAATTTATTTTTCATGGATATTTATTTATTTTACTATTCTAAATTCAACCAAATAATAATAATAATAATAATAAAATAGGAAAAATAAACAAAATAATCTAAAAAATATTTTTCCAAAATTCAACCTCCTATGTACACACATGGATACTCCCTCTATAAAACCAAGCTTGAGGCTCTCCTTCTTCACAAAGAGAAATGCCTTTCTCCAAAGCTTTAGCCTATATTCTCGTCGCCACGGCCCTGATCGCCGCTGGACCGACAACGGCGCAGCTGAGCCCGACGTTCTACGACGCGAGATGCCCGAACTTATCCTCCATTGTCGAAGATGTCGTGAGACAAGCTCTCCTAACCGATGCCCGAGCAGGCGCCAAACTCATTCGCTTCCATTTCCACGACTGCTTTGTTAATGTAAAGAATTCTCTCTCTCTCTCTCTCGATCGTTCACTTTTAATTTTAAACTAATAGATTACGATATGTTCAGGGATGTGATGGGTCGGTTCTACTAATAGATTCCGTTGAAGACAACATCGATAGTGAACAGAATGCAGCGGGAAACCAAGGGATACAAGGCGAAAATATCGTTAACGATATCAAAACAGCCGTTGAAAATGCATGCCCGAATCTCGTCTCGTGTGCTGACATCTTAGCTATTGCGTCGAATTCAGCTGTCGTTTTGGTAAAGACATTATTTATCGCCTCGATTCACCTCTAGTTGTGACGCGCTCGATATTTACGATCAATCATTCGTGTTCGTACTTCGTTTATGGAATGTGTTTTGCAGGCTGGAGGAAGAGGCTGGGAGGTTCAGCTGGGAAGAAGAGACAGTAGAGAAGCAAATAGATCTGGAGCTGTAAGCAACCTCCCCAGTCCTTTTGAACCTCTTGCAAATCTCACCGTCAAATTCGCCAACGTCGGTCTCAATTCCACCGACCTCGTTGCTTTATCGGGTACGTTCGATACATAAGCTCGTGTTTTATTTAATATGACTGTCACATCGTATGTTCTTATAAACTCTTCGAGATATATTTAACTCATAGTCATTATTTCAATCACATGGCCTATTTTCAATTTTTTTTTTTAATAATTTTTTTTAGTATATGCATTTAATAAAATTTAGAGGTTTGAAAATTCAAACTATTAATTTTGACGAGTACATATACTTTTAATGTCTTCTTTGATGGACCCCTCTTTCGGAAGTGGTTACTATTTAACATATAGGTCGGGAAGGGAATAAAACATTCATTAGAAAGGTGTGAAAACCTCTCTATAGCAAATACGTTTTAAAATCGTGAGGCAGACGAGATATGCAATGGGTTAAAGCAGACAACATCCATTAGCGATGAGCTTAAATTGTTACAAATGGTATTAGAGCTAGACACCGGATAGTGTGCCAAGGGGGATGGATGGTGAGATCTCACATCGGTTGGAGAGAGAAACGAAACATTGATGTGAGAACTTTTCTCTAGATGCGTTTTAAAATCATGAGGCTGATAGAAATACGTAATGGATCAAAGCGGACAATACTTCTTGTGAGCTTTGGGTTCAGTTTTTTAATAACAATGAGTTATGTCTAAAGAGTAGACACGGGTAATAAATAAGAGAAGGTTAAGAATTTACGTGGACTAAAGTTCAAATCTTTATATCTCACATATGTCGTTTACATAGGAGCGCACACGTTTGGGCGTTCAAGGTGCATATTCTTCAGCAGGCGATTAACCAACTTTAGCGGATCGGGACTTCCCGACCCGACTCTAGAGGCAGCCTACCGGGAGACCCTGATCGAGGCATGTCCTGCAGGCGGCGACAACAACCGGATCAACCTGGATCCGACGACTCCAGACGAATTCGACAAGAACTATTTCACGAATCTCCAAGCCAACCGGGGGCTTCTCACCAGCGACCAGGTGCTGTTCTCCACCGACGGCGCCGACACCATCGAGATTGTGAACCGGTTTGCGGCCAGCCAAGAAGCGTTCTTTGATGGGTTTGGAGCGTCCATGATCAAGATGGGGAATATTCGGCCGTTGACTGGAACTGATGGGGAGATTCGTTTGACTTGCACTCGGGTCAATCCTTTGCCGGCTGTGGCAGATATGTAAATTTCTTTACTTCTTTGTGTGTTTTGTTTTGTTTGTTCGGGGATTTTAATGAAATAATTGGTGTTGTTTTGTTAATGTGTGAGAGTGTCTTCTCAGCTCGTGTTTATTGTAACTAATAATATGATATGGGTTTTGTGAATCCTTTTCTTTTCATTTTAATTACATTTTTTGAGTTTTTTAGATATGATGCTCGTGTCCCCGAGTCGACCTAAATATAGCTCAATTAACGTATAGTATGCACTTTCATCTCTAACGTTAGCTGACATGAAGTATGCACTCTTGATTAAGAGGTCGGAGGTTCAAATCTCTCATCTCGAACACAATAGAATTTAAAAGTAACTCGACTGACATAAAATATGTACCCTCGATCAAGATGTTCGAAGTTCGAATCTCTCATCTCGAACACTGTTGAATTTAAAAATAGCTCGACTGACATAAAATATATACTCTCGATCAAGAGGTTGGAAGTTCGAATCTCTCACATCCAATATCATTGAAAAAAAAACTCTCAATTAAGAGGTCAAAGGTTTGAATCTCTCTTTCAACTCTCTTTCAACTCTCAATTAAGAGGTCAAAGGTTTGAATCTCTCTTTCTCTCTTTTAAACGTCAATCCCTTTACTCTCAAACCCTATTAAAGTGGAGTTGAATGAAATCGAGTTTATTAAATATATTTGACAGAAGTTTTAAGGTAAATTCTTTTATGATGTGACACTTGAACCAATATTTTAAAATTATTTATTAATTAAAATATGATGTAAAAAAAATATAAAATAAAGATTAAAATCATTTATTAATTAAAACAATTATTTAAAAATTTTAATAAGTGAAATTTTGGAACTTACGAATAATAATAGTGATTTATATATATATATATATATATATATAATTTTGAGTTGAATAATATGTATAATAAGCATCTCTTTTTAAAGTTGTGTGTATAAATGCACAAAAAGATTATGGTTGAAAATTCAAGAGTTAGGTATAAAATTTATGACCAAGACTTTTGACTTTTGGGGCTTTACAGAATTTCTAACCTCTTATTTTCTTGAGTGATAATTAACCTAATGTTTTTAAAATTTAATTAATTATATAGAAATTAATTATTTTAAAATTTTAAAATAATTTATTACGTTTGAAATTTCAAATTTAGTTTCGCAAACATTATTCTTATTATACATACGTATATACATATACATATATACATACATACATATTTTATTGTTAAGTTAGTTTGGTTCTATTCTCCACCCGTCTAAGATAAGAGGATTTTTTTTCTACCTTCTTCTTGATGATCGGTTAGGCTCATATAGCCTTTTAGTAGAAATGTATGGGACGAGACAGAGATGAACATTGACTCGAGGTATTTTCTCTACCCTTCTTACCCTGAAAAAACAGGGGCACGATAACCATCTTTCGACTAAGCTAGTCTTCTCCGTCCCTCTGGACCAACAAAGAGTAGTATAAGAATATTCACATGTTGTCCATCGACTACGTCTTTCAGCCTGGTCTTAGGCCTTGACTCACCCTCTATGAGCCTTCTCTGTTCCTATTCTTGTCTCCTATTTCAATGTTCGGTAATTTCTCGTTTATTTTGGTGGAAAAAAAAAATGCTAATTTTATTTAGCACAACAAGAATATTTTAATCTTATTAGACCTTGGATTTGGGCCTAAGTTGTGCCATTTTTACAAATTATTAAATTATTGGGGAATGAGATGAGAATGGTAGAATTACTTGGGGAGGAAAACGAATATTTGAAACTATTTACTTTATATTAATAGTTTTTTTTTGGGCAAATAAGAATATATGAAATCGTTTATTTCACGACGAATTCTCTCTTGCGCCACCGTCGTCGCTGCCGTTGACAGAGCAGAGGATGGAGGCTCTGATGGCTTCTTATGGCGGAAGCTCGTCGGATGAAGATGTGGATACAGTTTCCCCTTCATCAGCATCAGCTTCGGCTTCACTACCTCAGCTCTCCGATGAGACTGAGAGTTTTTTACCTCTGCCTCCGCCGCCTCTTTCGCTTCTCGATTTTCCAAATTCCACCTGTAAAGCTCTTCTTCCTCCTTACATTTGCATTCTTCAGTTTTTACTATGTAGTTTTGCTCATCAGCTCTTTCACTATTTCTTTCTCAGCCGCTTTGGATGATTTACCAATCGGTCAGGCGGCTAGGGTTCGAAGCTTCCCTCACGTTCAAGGAAATTATGCCCTACACCTCTATATCCCAGGTGATTCCAGTATATCATCTTTCTATTGTATTCTTGATTTTTGGCGTCCTGTTCGGTGGAAGCTTAGCTACGATTCTATTTATAGGGAACTCTTCTTTGGTTGATAATCAATTCATTATTAACTAGTAGATTGTTAGATTATAGATCGGAATCAATGTGCAACAATTAATTGTGTTGAAATATATGTTGATTTCATTTTAGTTTATGCCTCTCAACCCTTCCTTGTGCAATCTTTAAACTTCATTCACTTAGCTTGCTATATTACCTCAAACATGAGTAGTAATGCTTATCACTTGCATGCATTTCAGTACGTCTGTAAATTTTCCTTTCATTGTACTTGTGGAATTTTGAAATGTCATGATGGAACCAACTAAGAAAATCAATAATATCTATGATAATGTTTCAACAATACCTACAAATTTCAGATAATGGCAGATTTTTACTGTTAGGTTTTTAAATCTTGAATTAAAACTTTCTCTACGCTTCTTTCGTCAATAGCAACATTTTCACAAAATTTTGTGATCAATGTATCCTCAATCCTCTAAATGTTCATGTTTGATGAGGAAAAACAGCTAAAGTAAATGCCTTGTTTAAAACTAAATATAAACATGTTTTTTTTTGGCATAAGTTTGTAGATTCCTTTTTAGTTTATTGATTCATAATCAAAACATTAAAAGAGATTCTAAACATCTACGGATTAAACACTCTCAAATGCATAGATCTAAATGATTGTTGCTATTTCTCATTTGTTCTGTGTTATACAATGACTTTTCACATAGATGTCCATGCCCGACTATAAGTATTTGATTTTTCATGTTCTTAGTGTACATAACAACTAATGCAAGGAAGGAGGTGGCGTTGTTTCTGAAGAAACTTTCCAAACTTGTGCCTGCTCTCCATCTTGTTGATATTGACATTCCTTTAGACATTTTATGTAAAGATGACCACAAGCTTGAGCAAGCATTGGCCAGAGAATTTCACATAAGTTTGTCAAGAACAGTGCCAATCCGAGTACACCAGATTGACTCAATAGTGACAATGCTTCGCCAGAAGCTTCAGTCTCAAAGGCGGTAATTTAAAACTCTTCATTTAGTTTGATTAGTACTTTTCAATTTGTTTTTGTATTCTACTTATGTCTTTTTTTCCCCCCCTTTAAACAGTTATTGGATTGATTTTAGTAAGTGGGAGACTTTTGTTAACGATGATCTCTCCCGAACCTTTTTGTCAATGGAAATTATTGCTGGAGGGCTAATGGAGGTGCGTCAGATTTGATGAATTCCCATTTCCATTTTCTTTGCATTTTTTTGGCGTAAAAGTATTTTTCTTCATTCTCAATTTTTTGACCAATCATATGGGAGCGTCCACTTCTGCTAAAGTTTCTTTTCCCCTTATATTAGTTTCTATTAGATTACATAGTACAACTAGTCCAAAAACTCAACAAAATTAGGTTAGATTATAGTTAACTCTTTACCTCGCTTGCGGGTTTGATTTACGAGGCTGAGGCATGGATTGGAAGTTTTGAATTAGAATATAAGACAATGAACTTTATGTAGAATCTTGTAGGATGAGACAATTGTTGTATGGATTTTTTTTTTTGAAGCTTTCCTAAATTAGATTAAGGCCAACATTATCAAATCCATACACACATGTATGCATCCATGAACGTATATGTGTTTTGCATTCATGTTATCTAGACAACGAAATATTGGAAAATTAGGATTAAGTTGTCAACACCTCACGCGACAATAATTTGTTAAACTCTTATGTTTCTGTTATTTTCTTGACACTCTCTCATGTGATGTTTTGAAATTAAGACTTGTTTATAATTGTAGCTCAAGAACAAACTTGTTTGTCAGGCCATTTTTGTTTGAGATCTTTTGACATAGGTTATGATGATTTCCTGAGTCTTACATGGTTGAGATTGATAATATTACATGAACAAAGAGTGATTCCTTTTTTTTTTTTTTAATTGGTTACAGATCAGAAAACATATCCAAGTTGTTAATGAGGTTTATAAGCTCCACAATCTTCCTGAATTTTACAAGGTTAGTTGCATTAATCTTTTTTTCTTTCGATCTTTATCCATCTTATATTGAAGAAGATGAACTTCTGGACTCTATTTTGTAGGAAGGAAGACCACATATATCTCTTGCCTGGGCATTAGGTGACCTTAGTAAATTATTGAGTCAATCAGTTCATGATGAAATGAAAAAGTCCATGGTTAAGGAAAAATCAAAGAGAAGTATTTTCACCGCCAAATTCAATGGCATTGAATGTAAGATTGGTAAAAAAATGTTTAAAATATGTAAATTTCCTGATGAATAAGATGATATTCGTGAATTTGTAGAAGTATCCTATTGCTACTTTTATCATCTTTAATTATCTTTATTTGTGAAAGCTTCATTTCTAGGATTTTTAGGTTGTATGCAGACTAAATTTGATATGAATCTGTAGAATGGTTATCTTTAGTATTATCTTAGGCATAATTATCTTAGGCTATATGCCTCGTCAACAACCCCTACCTTTCTCGTACAAAGAGTGCATCATTGTCTTCTCTTGACTGATTGACGTAGAATTTTCGTAGACGACACTATGATAATCACTGAAGTGTATTCAAAATTATGACCATCCTTTTTTTTGCAATAATGTGTCGCGTGTCACTATGGCACGGGCACAATGATGACCATCCTTTCTTTGTCACACCTAGGTAGACCTTTTCAGCTCTAACGCTTAATTGAGGCAAGAACCTCAAGTATAGGTTGTTGGATGGAAGTCCCACATCGGCTAATTTAGGGAATGATCATGGGTTTATAATCAAGGAATACTATCTCTATTGGTAGGAGGCCTTCTGGGGAAGCTTAAAGCAAAGCCACGAGAGCTTATGCTCAAAGTGGACAATATCATATCATTGTGGAGAGTCGTGTTCGTTTAACATAGATATAGGTATCATGTTCTTGTAACTTTTGTTTGATCTTCTTTACGAAAGAATAACATTTTTTTAGGCACTTGTAACTTGTATGTCTCATATTTTTGTATCATGGCCTTTCAAACTGCTAGATTTAACAGTATACAGCCTAAATAGGCATTTATGCCCAAAATGACATTTTATCCCCCCTTTCATTGCATCCCAATCTAACTCATAGCAACTCAATCCAATCCAAATCCACCTTTCATTTTCATATCAACCATAACTAGATATGCATATAGTTCAATTATCAGCCTCAGCATTAGATTCAATGAACCATTAATCAAAACTTGAGAAATTTCCCTAGAAGGTACAGTTATAACATCCAGACCAATGCTCTATCCAACATGAAATATAGCTCGGATACAGTTACATCGTACAAAAAGGTAAGGGATTACATTTTTCTATCCCTTCAAGGAGCGAAGTCCTCCGCACACAAAGTTCTGATGCATATATAGATATATACATACATACATATATATATTTGACTATGCAAAACCGAAGTCTAATCAAAGGGGTCTATTCGTGGGTCGTGTTCGCTTGCCATTGCCATACCAGTGCAAAGGCATGTAGGGCACATAACCTACAAAATAGAATTTGGAGTTAGAAAGCTAGCTTCACGATGTTCATTGATCTAAATAAAATGGTGGAAAGTCCCTCAATCCCACAAAACTTTTGGGTATAGAACTGATCAAATTTAGCCATAACCTCTCAACTCTAATATTTAGTCTTTCAAATTTTATTAAAACAATAATAACTTACTTATTGTCACTATTTGTAATTATTATTATTATTTAACCAAAGATTAGCCAATAAGAAGATCTATATGAACAAATATTTAAAACTATTGGTTAAATATTGGATTTTAAAATGGATTTCCATCACCATTCAAGGTTTCTAAATTCACAGCTTCTTGTAACTAACCTCAAAGATGGTGAAAGTATAAGTGGTAGTTCAAGAAATCATACCTTTCCCGACCCTGAACAATTTTGGCATCTTTCAGTCTTTGGTGGCGACAAAGGCTGATCTCCACCACTTAAGGTTGATACTGGCTGGGTCAGCACAAGAGCTCCCGTGTTTGAGCAGCGAGCGCAGGCCAAGTATCCTGGTCCAATTACAAATGTACATCCCGAAGATTGAGAATGAAACTTCAACAAAAATAATTATGAACAATGTCTTCAATCAAGTTAGGAACTCAGTTTCTATACTGAACACAAGTGCTCAAGCCATACCAGTGCCAAGACAGTATTTACATCTTTTATGCTCCTGTTGCTTTACATTGTTTGCTTCAACAACCATTAGTGCCGAGATCACCCCGACTGCTCCTCCGGAGAAAGATGCCACGATCGGATCAACCTGACTGCACTTTGTCACAGAAAAACATATGAACATATGAATTTAAAACTTGCATGAAGAGAAGCAATTTAACATTAATGCCACTGATCTGAATTCCAAAGTGGGCAAATTCTTACAAAAATTAAAATTTTTTAGTAGTTTACTTGCACACACACTGCATAATCCACATACACTAAGTAGAAATAGGTCTCAAGATCCTCAGTATGAGATTCTAACTGCAACGTCTTGAGTAATGAAAGAACGCAACAAAGAGCATATCAAATCTTATAATCAACCATAAAATAACCCCTTACCAAAGGAAAATACAGAAAATTAATCATTATAAGAAATTTTGCGTACCAAAAGTTTAAAATCCTACGAAGGTTGCTGATCCACTCAATTTTGGAAGTTTCCTTTTTATTTATTTATTGGAAAGAAAACATGAGAAATTTACGATGGCAGCTGAACTAACATAATAATCTAAGAAAGCTGTAACATGCTATGATATCGATTCCCTGTACAGCGACTAATAATTTCAAATTTATGCATATTAATTGAGTCTCAACAAATTTTAATGGAGCCTTTATAAAAAATAAATCAAAAAATTCAGAGCATGGATTAAAATATCTGTCAATACAACGATACATCTTTGAATCAGAGAGTTCGATGTCGATATTTAGTATTAGCTGATATCTTTGACACATATATGAAGTAAAGACAACTCATTGCAGAAATATTTGTCGATATTGATCTATTCGTAAAATCAAAATTTCAATATCGATATCGACGTGAATATTTTAATCTTTGATTAAGAGAGAGTATTAGCTCACCTTAGTTGCATTGGAAGATTCATACTACGGATAAAATCTACATATGATGTGCCTCCGAGTCCCAGCTTCAGCTCAAGCTTAAATGTAAGAGAAAAGATGAAGGAAACATTAGTCCATTCCAAATTTGAAAAAAACTTACATGATGTAATAAAAAACTGCTTACTGCCCCTAATGGACAAGATGACTCATCGAACGTGTTTTATATAAAACAGGTACGATTGCATTAGAAACGCCCAGAGGCACTAAAGGAGCATACAGAGGACTATAGGGTGGCAAATAGATTACCGTGGGTGCTAATAGGCCTCCAAATAGCACTATGCCAATGATAAGAGAAGAACATGTAACATAGTACAGCTTCAGATTCGCTGAAGTCTGCAAGTATAGTAGCATGTTTGTATGGTGATCAACAAGTAGTTGAAAAGAAAGAACTCCAGATGATATGGCTAGCGAAAAAATTACAGATACCATGTTTCTTAGTGGCAGAATAACTATCAAGAATTGAAAAGAAATCAACAATAACATGGAGAAAGAAACTGCTGGGGAATAAAGCATACCAGGGGGGGTAAAAATGGAATGAACGATGGAAAATTGGGTAGTTCGTTTTCTCGCTCTTCCTTTGAAATTCCAAGTTCAGCATTTTTTATTCTCTGCTGTATCCTCAGCCGACGAACCTACAAAGATTGGAGCATTTCCAAAAAAATATGAAGGGGAAGGAGAACCAACATATTTTGTTTTCAAACACTAGAATGAATATGGGGAGAATCAAAACTTTTGTCCAAAGTTTTTCCCCGATAGTACTCACCATGTCATGAGATATGTATATGCCATGGTATGGCTCAATTAGACCATGAGGCCCAAGAGTGTGGTAGAGTGCCAATACCATGCCCCTCTATAGTACATATAAGAAATATTTGACCCATGCACATCAAGGTGGTGAGTCATAGACCAAGGTGGAGCATCTATCTGATGTCCAATTGACACCAAGCTTGATGAGTTTACATCTTTCACTTATACGGATTTAACTCTATAGCCATTGTCAAAACTCATGATAGAACCGATTTACATCATTGCTTCTATTCTTGCTTACACCTTAACTTGACAATCTTACCTAATCTTCTTGGTGCGTTAGATGATGTACCGTCATCCTCGATCGCATCATGACACTTCTCTCTTGACCTTTGACATGACTCAACAAACAGCACTTGCATACCAACACTTTTCTTGTCCACAACGTGGGAGACACAACTTACTCTCTCTCTTTTAGTGTGGATGAGATACCTAACACCTCATTGCATTTGGAGTCAAAAAGTGACTCAAGATGCCTTTAAGAGTTCAAGAGTGGGCTGATCCAACTTCAAAACGCTCCCTCTCCACTGTTCTAAAATCCTACTTGTTTTTAATAATCTCGTATTCAGCATGCCACAAACAGAAACTAAACAAGAAACCTCAAAAGTTGTCTGGCACTTTTTTTGGGGGACAAGAAATAATTTCATCGATAGTACGAAAAAAATTGTTTGCCATTAAGAAAATCATTTCCTAATTGGACTTGTAAACAATAGACCAATTGACAAGATGATGTTCTCTATCTTTATCCACAACATCCCACATAAATAATTTAGATATTTTTGGCTGAAAGTTAACAGAAAGGCAGTCTAAGAGTAATAAGACTGAATTAACTACTCAGAATTCAAGACTGAAAATTGGTTAATGCAAAATCTAGTGGAGGATTAAAACTATATAAGTAATGTAAGCCTACATAATATGTATGCCTTTTGCATCAATAAATTCAGATTGTTTAGGTTCAACAGAAACTAATTTTTGAATTTTAGAACAACAATGAAGGAATCAGAACCCAAGCTGTTTAAACAATAATACTAATACCTAGCACCGCCCCCTAGATGAACGCCTTAGGTTTTTTCAAGCTATTGAAATTTTGGACACATCTAAATACTTCGAAATTCAAATCCATGAATAATCAAATAAAGGCAATCAGTTCATGAGAATAGTTTATACTACCACGCAAAATGTCCACTAATTCTCACCTCTTCCATATGCAAGAAAATTTTGTTTCGACGACTTCGAATGTTCTCTTGAATTTCTTGCAGTTCCATTTTTGCAAAACCTTCAACTGTTTCAGGTCCCTCTATGATACAAAAACTGCATATAAATCATGTTATGTTAAAATTTAACGTTCAGATAAAATATTCCTAATTGTCAACAAGAAAACCAAAGAGAATACTACAAATACAAACTTCCTACTGCCATGAACGTGACAACATCTA